AGAGCAAAATTTAAAAATTTACTATATAAAAAAGCAATGTTTGATGATTTTCTATGCAAAATTTCCTTTTTTGGTAATATATGAGTTGTATCAGAGTTCTTCGAGATCCTGCTGCGCTCTACTTGGTCTTTTTGAATGCTCAAAAAGCCCTTGGGCTTTTTGGAGCATTACCACACAGCTCTGAACAATTTTAAAGTATTCGAGTACTTTCAAAATACTTATGTCGTGAAAAGATTCAAGTACTTTCAAAATACTCATGTCATGAAAAGATTTGAGTACTTTTAAAGTATTTGGTTTTTTGCAAAACGTATTCTGATATTTGCAAAAAGTATTCAACTTTATTAAATGATGATTAGGTGAATCTCAAAGTATTCAGTTTTTTGCAAAACGTATTCAGATATTTGCAAAAAGTATTTATCAGTGACCAATTAAAAATTTATTTCTTTATAAGGTTTAATTAATTAAAAAAGAAAAAACAAATAATTGCTTCAAAATTCTTATTACAAATATATTTAAAAATGATGGTTTTGTTAACTTTATTATTTACAAATTTTATTACAAAATGTCTTTTTTAAAAAAATTTATTAACAAATTTAATAAACGAAACACTTTTACAAGTGAAGAAACATATTATGAAAAGTGAAACAAAGAATTAAAAATTAAAAAAATATTCACAAGAATTTTTTCAAGAAATAAAAAAAATATTTAAGAAGAAACTAAAGAAGACTTTTGGGGATAAGATGATGATATTCGATCGTCTTATTTGACAAACAATACAAAAGAAAAATTTTTCATACTATCTATTGAAGAAGAAAATCCAATAATTATTAAAACTAGTGAATATAAAATATTTATTAATTATGAAATGTTTAAAGATTATTTGTTAAATGAAAAAATAATTACTATTAGTTATAATTTCAATAACAAACAATTAAAAAATATTCTCAACTTTTTGTAAGCAAATATTAGAAGTTATTTTAATTTATTTAATGATGGTTATAATTATTTTGTTAATAATAATACATTGGATTTAATGGAACATAGAAAAAGAAGTTATGAGAATGATTTTAAAATCTGGTTTCATGAAGTAAATTTATATTGTAAACAGAAATTTAAGGTTAAATATCTGTGGTCATTTTTTGATTTAGAAAAATATTGTACCAAATATTTGTCTTATTAATTATATTTATTATTATATTTATTTATATTGTTACTCTATTTATTTATATTGTTATTTTATTTATTTATATTGTTATTCTATTTATTTATATTGTTATTTTATTTATTTATATTGTTATTTTATTTATTTATATTAAAATTAGAACCAATTAAAAGAAGCTTTTAAAAATTTCTATATTTGAAATTATTGTTTCAATAATAAAAGACTAAATTTTTGTTGTTTTTTCTAATCAAATCATTGTAATTTTTAAACATAATTACATTAGTTATTACAAAATTTAAAACAATAAAATTCACAACTTATTAAAATGATTTCTCAACAAAATTTAGAAGAACAAGATACTAGAACTTATTTAAGAAAACATTTTGTAGAAGAATTTGGAGAATTTACTCAAGAAATTAAAATATTAAATTCTTTATATAAATTAAAGGTTGTTGTTCAATTTTACTGCTGTTCTTATGTCATTTTCGTCTCGATCCCAATCTCAACTCAAATTCTGTAACAAACGCTCATAGCAATCTCCAACAACTATTTTGTGCCACCCAGTAAATTATTATTTACCCTTGTATGAAATGGGGTCGCTCTGCTGGCTTGCTTTACAAGTAAAGCTCGGCAAAGTTTTTGCAGCAATTTTTCTTCGATGTGTCGAATGCTTTGTAACTTCAGTCATTGTTTGTAAACAAACAATGATTGAAGTACTCATTTTCGACAACATCTTAGAAACTTGAAACTAATAAAAAAAAATAAATAAATATTTTTATTAAAATTAATTTAATTATTAAAAATAAATTTTATTGAATAAAGATATTGGAATCATGTAAATCAAATTTATATGCATTTTTAAATTTAATATTAACTAATTTAAAATTTGTATATAATATTTCTAATAAAGGTTTGTTTGAAATTGAATCAAAAATATCATTATTCTTGTTTACTAAAAATTTACAAAGTTTTATAGTATCTTTATATTTTTTATTGATAAAAAAATTTCTTCGCTTGGTTAATTTTATTTGAAGATATTCTGTAATATGATTATTTTCATCAAGAAACATGACTGGCCTTCTATAATTTTGTTTTTGATCATCTCTATACCACCAGAATTCTTCTGTTTTTGTTAATTTAAAATTATCATTTTCACTATTAGATAAATTAGATTCATTATTAGACATTTTTGTAATAGTGAGCGCACATGAGCAGACCCCGTTTCATACAAGGGTAAATAATAATTTACTGGGTGGTACAAAGTGAGAGTTAGTAAAAAGTAAGGAAAACAAATGACCAAACTAATATACAAGTTGGACCTCCCAAGGAAGCTTCTCTCACCTAAATCTGATTGGCTGAAAATGGAGAAAAATTGAGAGAAAAGAAGAGAAGAGATAGAGGGTTTATATAATTAAAAAAAACTAAGCTATACTAGCCACCTAGAGCCACTCTGAATAATCAATAAAAATATTATAAAAATAAAGAAAATATATTTATATATTTATGAATGTTTGAGTAATTTATATTACCATTAATTTATTATAAAAATTTTAAATAGCTAAAAAGACATATTGTTTAGAATAATTTTGCTAATAAAAATAATAAAACCAGCCAAAAATAAACATGTTTACTAAAACATATTTGATAATTCGAAGTTTGTCAAACCCTGTGATGAAATTATATACAATTGAAAGAAAAAATAAAGTTATAGTATATAACTTTTTAAAATATTTATTCTGCTTAATTGTTGTATAATACATTTTAATAAAATTAACCATGTTCTGAATTATAATATTGTTAATTTCTAAATCATCTAAAAAATTTAAAAAAATAATGTTGTCAATTTTTTTTTTTAAATACAGCAAGGTTTTCTGTTTTGTATAGCTGTTCCCAGTTCAGAGCATCAGCAGTGACAAGTTTTAAGACATTATTTAATTTGTTTAATTCGCAAATCTGATTTAACAAGTTGTCATTATTGTTTTGAAGTTCAATAATTTGGTTATGTAATTGAGTGTTTGTTCAGATTAATTCTTCATTATTAGCCAATAATACGAGATTATGTTAAAATGGTTCCATTATAAAAAAATAATTTTATTTAATAATCAAAAGATATATTTATAGATAAATAATAATAATTTAAATAAAAAAAATACAAAAAAAAAATTTTTTTAACGATCATCTGTACCAAAAATCCAAACACATTTTTTGTAAAAAACACAATAGCACTTAGTAAAAAACGGAGGCACACTACTAGCTATAAGTCGGCAGTTGTTATTTAAAGATAGTTCTCATATACTACCTGCTAACTTTTTCAGAGTTTATCACTCACCGCTTGCACAGCACTTGTTGTTTAGAAGTAGTTTTTATACGCTACTTGCTGACAAGCTCAGAGTTTATCACTCACCGAAAAGAAAGAATTGGTGTCCACCTCTTTCTTAGAAGAAGGTTAAGGAGTGGTTGAGTCTTTATATGGATATAACTACTTTCCTTGGATACAAGTGGTCTCTTTCTAGGTGTTTTTCACTTGGCCGGTCTTTTCCAAATTTTTCAACAAAAAGTGAGCGATTTGGCTTACCCTCTCCAAAAGATCGGCATTGTTTATCTTCTAAATTCGAATGTACCCAGGAATGCAACCACGTGCCTTGTTTATCAGTGGATACGACACGCGATATAATCTATAGATACGGGTTTTCCATGTGACTGGGATTGGGTCTCTGGCATAAGAGGTATCCGGAGGTGGCCAGTAGTCAGATATTAAGTTCTTATATTGTAATTAAGATATACAAACGTTGCAGTTGTTATAAAATTTTTTCTTAAACCTAGCACAGGTTATAATAGTGTATTTTTTCTTCTTGTTTTGTTTTTTTTATCTCATTCTCTTATGCTATTTCTTTATAGAGGTAGTTCCCTCTTTGTTAGCCCTTGGGCTTTTCTATTTGTGTTTCTTTTTTTTATATCTTACTGTACTCTCCTTTTCTTTTCTTTAAAATATTCTTTCGTTCTATATGTTTGTTTTAGTTAGGTTTTCATTTTGTTTTCTTGGTAGTATTGGTGGTTTTGTATAAGATCATCACTTTCTTTTGCTCTCAGTAAAGAAAGGGAAAAGCTTTGACGGGCTGACAAAGTTTATCTAACTTGTATACAGATTGGTACGACAAGTCATATATGGGCACATTTATTGTAGCCAGATGATATCAGGCTTGCTATTGCGGTAACTTCCTGTTTGTGGTTATAAATAATACATGTATTGTTCGAGAGAGCTCAGCTCTCACCTAAATATAGTTGCAATAAATTGAGTACTGGCAAGACTGTCAAAGATTTAAAAAAAAAAAAAAAATACAAAAAAAGAAAGCTAAATTTTTTTAAATACACATTTTAAACCTGTATACAAAGGATTTTTTTTGTCTAAATTATCTTCTGTGCCTGAACAGAACCCCAAAAAACTTTGATGCAACTCATATATTATCAAAAAAGGAAATTTTGCATAGAAAATCATCAAACATTGCTTTTTTATATAGTAAATTTTTAAATTTTGCTCTATTTTATACATCTATTTGGCCAAATTTATACAAACTTTATACAGATCTAAGTTGTATTAGAGTTCTTCGGGGTCTTGCCTGAACCTATATCAATTTTTGCTTTTTAGTTGATCTAAACTCTGAATTATTATCTTCATGATCTAACTCTCCATCTGAATTATTATCTTCATAAAAATCATTATCACAAACTAAATACTCCTCAGAATCATGAATGCGTTTGCTATTATTGTTCAAAAATTCTTGATGATTTGCCTGAATAGTAGCTTGAAAATCATCAACTGATTTGAATTTGCCTTTTTTTTGTTTGTGCGTATAGGCCAAATCATCCAAATGAAGATCTGATAATTCTGATTCTGATTCGCTAAAATTTTCTAAATACTGGTAATTATTTTGTATTAAAGATTCAATTTGGGGATCTAATTTGTAATCTGTTTCAATTCCATTATCTGATTCGACTGTCGTATGATATTTTTTATTTGAATCTAATTCAATTTCTTCTAATTTTTTTTTTTTTGAGTTTTTAACTTCTTGTTTGTAGTCTGATAATTCTTTGTATTGAGGATAATCATTCAAATATTTTTTTTTAAATAATGAAAAATTTCGACGCCAATATACTTGATTTTCTTTAATTATCACAGTTCCTTCTACATCTTTATTGAGATCTTGTACAATTTTTGTTAACTCTTCAGTTGTATGTTCACCCTTTTCATATTTCAAATCTCAAATCATATTATGAAAATCTAATTCTGAACTCTTGTGAAATATTAATTCTGTTGTATATTTCTTAATAACATTATGCTATTCACCTTTAAACTCAATGACAAAATCCAATCGACGAATAAATTGGTCATAACTTCGCTTATTATCATCTTCTCCTTCTCGCTAGCCAAAGTTAAAAGCTTCTTCAGAACATTTTTTGCTAGTCATAAAAATATATTTTGCAAGAAATAGAACAAATCTTTTATGTTTAATTTCAACTTTCTCTGGAGTATTATTAAGATAATTCACAATATCTGACCAATCAATTTTAGTATACCACTCATCAAGAAATACAATTTCTTGTTGATGATGGCTATTCCACCAATTAGATCCTGATCTTTGTTTCTTTTTTTTCAAATACAACTCCGAACCAAATAATTTTTGCACAAGATGTGATTTCCCAGCACCTCCAAACCCATAGAAATAAAATATTACTGGACACCAGAATCTTTTTAATTGAATAATTTTTTTCTTTTTTCGTATATTTTTGATTGCTTCTCATACAATATAAATATTTTTAGATTATTTAATAACTATTAAGAATTATTCTTCACATATTTAACAACCGCCTCATCACCAGATAAATCATTTTCAACTATATCCTTCATTAATTCAACTGCTTTGTTTTTATCCTGTTTAGTTTTATTTGATTCATTATTATTTTTAAATTTATTTTCAAATTTAGTTTCATTATTAACAAAATCAAATGGCCCTGCAATTAATGGATCTTCACTTATTCGAGCAAATGTTCTTATACACTTTTCATTACAAAATTTACAAAATTTTATAGGGTCTTGAAAATCACATTTACACTTCTCTCCTTTTTTAGAATTGCGATTATGTTCTGAATTTTTACAATGATTACATCAGCAAAAATAAATAGGCGTAAACCTCCGCAAGTTTTTACGCGAGCATAAACTTACGAAAATTTATGATTAGT